TACCTGGGCTTTAGACATGGCGCTGGGGTAGAAAGCGGTTGCCTTCAATGCCAGGGGAGCTAACATATTCTCTCTGCTGCAGCCTTCCAGGGTGACCCCAAGGTAAGTCAATGCGTTTCTGAAAGTAGAAAATGTTTTAAATCGAATTGACAACTGTGCTTGTGCAAGAAGGGGATGATTGAAGTTGAATGACTCAGTATCATCTGAATGCTAAATGCAAAACGTAACATAAATCTAATATGTTATGTTTGGCTGAATTCTGAAATTATTCATATCAAATTTTAGATAATTTATGTTGAAATGTTTTGAATAATTTATTTAAAAGAAATAAACTAGAAACGTTGCTCACCCGACGCGCTCAGCACTGAGGGTGTTGATGAGGGAGGCGTTGGCGACGCACAGGAGGCGGTTGTACATGGCGAGCTGCTTGTCCGACATGTCGGCCAGCGCCCGCCATGTCGTGAGCACCTTATCCGCGTACGCACGGAGCTGGTCAAGAATATTCAAGATTACATTATCGCGTGATTTGAGCATTTTGATTTGGTATATCGATACAATTGAAGGCAAAACACTAACTGCTTTTCATATCACTCCTTTTTACTATAGGAGTTTGCGATGCCACCTGGAAATCTGGTTGAGATCCTGAAATGACCAATTTTAAACCGATAATAAAGTCATGATAAAAGATGACAATGAGGCGTATGCATTTTTTTACGGTTTAATATAAATTATTCTATTAAAAGTGAACGTTTTTGACGTTTCGATCACTTTAATGTTTGTGTGCGTGTGTACATTTTCATTCAAAATTGTTTTTAGATAGTTTGTATGTTTTCTTTCTGCATCATCCATCAACTGTGCTCTGATAGTTTATCCATACTTTTTATTTTATTATCATCTCTTTCGAGTTTATTATTTTAGAATGATGCGAGTATATAAGAGGATAATGGTAAACACTATTGATAGTATGGACTCAAGAATTTGGGAGCTTCATATTATTGGAATGTTCTTGATATTTTTAGCATGTATCATTCATATCAGCCTGCTTTCTAAGCGTTAGTTCAATCGGTAGCCGAAGCCAAATTGACCACATATCCCTGCTGCCTTTCGAACGGTAGACTTACAGTCTTAATGATGAGTCTGTTTATTTCTGCGAAAGGGTGTGAAGGCTAGTGTAATGAAGGCTTTGAAAGCCAGGATTGCTTGAGTATGGTGAGGGGAAGGCGAGTTTGGTTTACATACTACATTCTCAAGCCAAATATTTTGAGCGTTAGATAACGACTGTGGTGATTAGAGTGAAATTTTTAGATAATAGATAATGCTGTCGTATGGTATAATATAATCATTTTTTATATATCATTACTGCCTAGCGCCTGACAGACATTTCCCATACATTAAATTACGATTTTGCACTTTCTCTCTATTGTATAATTTTTTAAAATAAATTCATGTTATCATCGGCTCAGCGGGTTTCTCAAAATAGTTGATGAGTATTCAGTCAGCGGCGGGTTTATCCATGATAATAGAATTATTCGGAGATTGAAATCATTTCAGTCTCGGGGATGCCATGATTAATTAAAAAAGTAATATCTACACATATATGCATAGATGAATCTATTCCCTATTTTTTGATCGGAATCAAATAGTTTTTCTTACATTAAATAGCTGATAAATTAAGCTCGATCCAAGAAGATTGCTGAACGGTCAACTCGGTCCAGACGTGTAATTCCAGTAATGAGGTCGAATGATTGAAAAACAGGGAAATTTTCTTCTCTTGCTTGGCGACAAGAAGTATTTGAAATGTTAAAATTTATAAACTATAATAACCATTCTTTTATTGTTTCTGATGTATGATTGACAGTGTCACATTGTCTGAAGAATACTCTCTTTCTTTTTGGTACCATCTTGAATTTTTGGTATCAAACCCTCTTGAATCGACAGCTCCAAATTTTTTCCCGCAGGAAGCAGCTATTGCAAGTGAACTTTTATTTTTAAATTAGGATCAAGATTTTTGAAGGCCATTCTATCCTTGTTGATATTGCGAATTGATATATAGTGGTATAGAACATCAATGCTTTAATGTGGATTGCTCGATTTATAGACGAGAAAAAACTTTTCCGACCCTTGAATAATAATCCGACAATTTGATTAAATAGGGGTTTTCTAAATTAAGTTAGTTTTGAGATGTTTTCTATTTTTATTACTGTTATTCTATCGGCAATCGCTTTAATTTCGTCAGGTTGGGTCCGCAGTGGTCAGTAACGGCCCGTGAATAGGTTCTCGTATGAAAAGGTTTCGGCAAAAGAAACACTGGTACATTTCATATGAAATTGAAAAATTCCAGTTCACATCCTACGTTAACAAAAATCTCTAGTACATGAAAAATGTAATTTGAACACATTAAAAATTGAGAACCTATCAGTTTACATCACATAAATCTCTCTATTTACCAGAACGTTGATAAATTGCAGTTCCATTGAGCCGTACGACCGTTGCAAACGACCGTATAATACACGCACGCTTTACAGCCGTAGATGCAGCGACCGTACCGCAGCTGTAGGCGCGCGTTTGCAGCCGTATTTCAAGTGGTCGTACTGCCGCTGTAGCCGCGCGTCCTCGCGATCGCTGTTCTTCATAACCGTCGTGTCTCGCTGATATCGATGCCTCACGGCCAGCCTGGCCGTAGGTTGTTTTACAACGACCGTACTTCGGAATAGTGGCGTAGTCTTCATCGTTGATGATGTTACTTCGGGCTCAATGCGGTGCTTCGGCGGTTGAAGATGACTGTAACCGTACCGCTTCTTCTTGATGGAAATCGTGACCGTATCGTACTGCTGATCGAACCGATGATAACTCCCGGTATAGAACTCGAAAACTTGGATCTTCTGATGGCGGCGTTAAAATCACGGTACAACTCGTGGCCTTTTCGCATTGTCTCACGGCTGAGTCGCAGCCGTAGTGTTGATGTTGATTTTCTTGACGTGCTTACAGAAATCGTAGCCGTCACGATGGGTCTAGATACCTCTCGACCGTTAATGTTCGAAAACGGCAACACCGCCGGCCTCACGGCCGCGGCCGTTAAATACAGTCCGCTAACTGCAGACCGTACGTGCGTGACGGTCACCTCCGTAGAACCAACAACCCTTTGCGCCAATTTTGAGGTCCTTATATACGCAGCAGCCGCTCACAGTTAAGCCTATTCCCTCGAAGTAACGCCACATTCCTCGAATGGTATGTCCCTCGCGCTGAGCTCGCTATCGTTCAATGTAAACTAAACTCCTTCCCACGCTCTCGAAACAACCGCGCCTTACACACTTGCTCCATCGCTTCGACCCGCATTCTTAGCATTCTTAACATCTACGCATATTACATGTTCAAAATTACCTACTTTATTAAAATTGTCGAAATATGCATTGTACCACGGAATCATTCACTTCCAATCATCCATACACATAGCAGTGTCATACTAATTTATTCAAGAATCTTTCGATGGCGTGTAAACAATGTAAATTTCTTGAAAGGCACGTGGAGTGGGGACACGGTTTTGTCACCCGTAACCATGACGTAGCGGCGCGAAGTTTACCGTTGTCAAGAGCGCGCCAATTGTTCATCGATTCCCTGCGCCTAAGTCCTGGTATATATTAGTTTATGATTATTTTGTACACGTTTTTTTTTGTGTATGTAGTGAAATGTGACTCAGAGGCAATCATCAGCTTGGGTAGATATACCCCAAGATGTATTTATACCCCAAGAGGCAAAATTAAATACAAATTTTTATAAACATCATAAAGGGTTCTTTGGTTAGCATTATCGTGAGATATTCTCATCAGACAAAAATAGCATGAGTAGATATTGTTCTGAACTCTGAAAAAATCTTCATTCAAAGTTTACCCAAATGCAAATTCAGCTTCATCGCATTAATTAATGTGCTTTCACGATTTACAAACACTCTCACCTGAATCACAGACTATATAGTGAATATTTCGACTCCATTATATCTATGGACTCGTTTCAACTCAAATTCATCTCTCCAGAGAGTCAAAAACTCATTTCTACTTTCCTTTAACCTCGCGTGAGGGCCATGATACATTTGGTGCTCTGTGATATGGGTACGCTTAATTCACACTAATAAACCTAGTTGTGATATTTTTATGATTTTTGACGGCACTGTCTTTGAATAGAAGTGTTGAGTGGTTTGAGGTTTATGTGTGCCTGTTATGTCGACCGCTTCTGACATATGCGTAAAAATGAAAGGAATGTAGATAATTTGCATCCCATCCACGACAGTTGAATTTCCTAATTTACCGATTAAATGTGTGGAATTTTAGAAATTTCATCATTTACTTGGATTTATAACTTAGTTACTTATTCAAACTATACTCGAAATTTATCATGCGTGACCAATCTATTTTGAATAGGTAAATAAAATTGTTTCCGACAATATTGCAACCGACATGGCATGTTACCATGTATTGCAACTCACGTGGCATCAGCCTTAATTTCTTGTAATATTTAACACTTTATAATAACCAAAGCGGTCGCGATAGAACGAATTACATGATGAGAAAAACTGGTGATGTTGCTTCAGGTAGAAGTGTTTTTGGAGACTAGATGTGAATTTGATATTATATAATTATGATTACAACTAACTTTAATGGTTTTCGGAGCGTTGATTGTGGCATTCTTGACTGATTACCGTCTCGTATGTCGATCCCTGTTACTTGGTGACATAAAACACATCGATGAACGGTCCAACCTATGATATCTACCCACTGGCACCGATTGCGTATAAATGAGCCCTCGATAGCTACTCCTCGAATGAAGTCATAAATATTTTTCGTAGGTATCGCTTATGCACTCTCATTCACTTCTTAAAAACATATAAGTAACATCACTAACAGTCACAGAATTTCTACTTAGTCAATGGCAAAGAGGGAGAAAAGATAATTTGTGTTTTTGATACTTTAATGAAGAGATATTCATCTCCAACTGGCTTGATGAATGTTAAGCGTTAAGGCAAAGATTATCATTTGATTATTATTTGCCGTTTTTCACATTAAACCAATAAATTACTCACGCTCATAACAAATGTCGAAAAACCAGTCTCTCTTTTACATTATAATTTTTTCGATGCCAGTAAGGCAATGATCCTGACAGCAACCCTAATCGTCTACGACAAGAAGGTATAAGGCTACAGAAAACGCTTAGATCCACTAGCTTGATCCTTTGACAGCAACTGGCTTGACACAAGTGAAATACCCGCACCTTGCTCGCACTCGTCCTATGATGGTGAATATTGCTCCGAGTTTCCATAACAATTTAAACATCCATTCATCCCTACAACTTCAGGACGTACAAACTTAACGAAATTGTTGATGATAAATGTACCCAAAGTATGAGTAATTTGACTGACTTATTGTAATGTGCCAAAGTTGAGAGTTTTGTTAATTAATAAATAAAGCTTTTCCACGAACTTACAATCACCGCTTAGGAAGCTTACTACAATTCACATCAAGTTCCTGATCATCATCTTCAGTCCAATCCTCACAACTGGTTGGTCAATCGTAAGGTCACGTGCATAGAATTCCCTGTAATTATTGCCTAGATAACTGTCATATTGTATTTTTCATTTCTTAAACTGAGGACGATTATTGTTGCGCTCTACTTCTGTATAGGTCCTCAGATTTGCACAAGGTTATTAATGGTCAACGTGAGAATTTTGTTTATATTTTGTTCAGTTGGAATCACGTTTGAAAAGATAACAAAGGAATTTAATTCGGCTGACAGGGTACACGAAAACGTTCGAAACAATACTTAGTTATGCATGATGAGACAGAGAAAATTAAAGAAGGTTATATTACACATTCTCGCTCGGCTGTGAGAAACTTTGCTAGCTTGACGTACTAGGAAATATAAATAATACATACATCGCACGTGATGATGGAAATTAACTAAAAAACATAATAATTAAATTTAAGCATTATCACACAAACCTTGCTGGGGATGATCAGAATTCAAGGCAGCAATGTACCTTTGAGAGATCAGTTCACAATTTTCAGATATTTGAGTAAAATCAGGATACATATTTCAGAGAAATAAACGGTAATTCAGATGTTTCCATCGTAATAATTGATGACTAACAGTTCATCATAGTTGATATAAATTTTCTGGAAACTTAGTTTGTTACCACCATTCAAAGAAAAGCTTGGTCATGTCAAAATGTTTATCTCGTTCCAGCACAAGTCGTATAGTGTTGCTTATACATTTTGGATCAGTGCACGACATTTGCGAAATGACGATTTCTGTTTCCTGCAGATACAATTTTTGTATCCATCGTATTGGCAATTCAATATACGCCTTTCGTACATGATTATCATATACTTGTATAACTCAATTCAATTACTTTGCTACAGCGCTGCAAACGTCTCGGATGTTGATCCCTGTTACCTGCTGACCTAATCCATACATTCATTGGCATTCTAGCAATAATTTGCCTTCAATGAAAAATAATAATTATCGAGAGTACCAGTACCAATAGGAAAACTCCATAAAATAAAAGTGAGGAAATCATTGCCGGTGCGAAAATATGCAATACGTAATCAAGTTGAAATTGAAGCAGCTCATGAGATTTGCTCCTAAACATGACTTCATCAAACTTGTTACCTGACTGATGAACAATTATACATACCGAGCGTATCAAAGTAACATCAAAATTGAAATAACTCCGGATATATACTCAATAAATTCTTAACCTTTAACGAAGTAAGTTTGTGTTGTGAATTATGCAAGGACAACGCTTCAGCAAAATTTCCAGTCCTGATGGGTGGGAGGCCTGCATTTAACGGGACACTCAGCCTTTACCACATCATCCGAGAATTGACTTCTGTACCTGCAAGTTTTGAAGCAAATTAGTGATATTCTAACACTCAATTCTTTCTACTGAATAAAATTGTCAATATCAGTAATAACTTCGTTTCACTAACACCTATTTCTCACTACTGAATGGAGACCATGATAACGCAATAGTTTCCCATGTCTCACCTCCTGTTGCCGACAAACTGGCTGGCGTTTCTCTGTGTTGGGAAGGGCACAGTTGAGGGGAAGTGTTGGCAGCTATAGCTGTCGTGGGAGATGGAGCTGTGAACCAGCTTGGGGTATAAATACATCTTGGGATTCAAACAGGTAACAATTAAAATCCATCGCATGGCGAGTTAAACTTACATTATGAATATTGTTCACTGATTTTAATTTGACGTTATTTCTAAAATCATAGAAATGGAATGAACAACGAAATAGGTTTTCTCATTTTAGAAATTGTGATCACAAAATTGACTTTAGCCTGGTTTCAGGGGTCATTACAGCGGTGGCATAGACTTTGCTGGTAAGTAAATGGAGTTTTCAGTCTTACGTGTTTGAATTATTTCATAATAGGACTCTACTATTAGGAACCAATTAAATGTCGAAATATGCAGAGGCTCTACTGCATGCACTAAATGGCACACCTTCATTTAATTACTGTAAAAAAATCCGATGTGAAATGCGGATAGAAAAAATAACAAACTATAATCGCCCATATAATTAGCCCAGTTTGTCAGCAAAATATAAATATTTAGGCTTTGATCTTTCTTCTACGTAAGGTTTTAAGTTTCTATCGCTTTTTGAGAAAATGACATTTTTAACCATTGATCGTTTATGAGTTATTAATAAATCATATCTCACTTTTTAAGAGAAATCTATTATTTGAAGGCGTTGATCTTTCTTTTTCATTAGTTTTCAACTTGCTAGACCTTTCTGATAAGACTGGATATTTTTAGTCGTAGATCCTTCTCATTCATCAAGTTCAAGTTTTTCATCCTTCTGATCACCCCTTCGTCAGCTAATTTTATTTAATATTTTATACAAATCGGTTTCAGCATTTATTTGGCCGTAGGTCTGTCGCCGATTCTTAACATCGCAAAACATCCACAGCTTTTTGCGGGCTTGAACTCGCAACTCACTACTTCAAAATTTCTTTGCTTAAACCGCCCGGTCTCCTCGCCGATTCTGACCAGAAACTGTCGCACAGAGCTCCATGGGATGGAAAGCGCGCCTCTCTGCGCCAATCTTGGTACTCTGAACTTTAAACACTTGGCTAACCATATTTTGGTATCAGTTTTTGCATCAAATTCATGTTCAATATTACGAATAGCAGGATGGATGATTCAATGATGATGGAGTATTGAGCCTTCCCTATCTGTAAGTGCAAAGATTTTATTCTCTGAAACTTTACAATTAAACTCCATTTATTTAATGTATTATCATGTAATTCATTTTCACAAATCTATCTTATACTATTGTTTAGTTCTTAATAGTGCAATCTTGTGCCCATGATTCAGATGCCCTAAAATGTTTGTGCCCGATGAGCGCACATTACGAAATCCTGCTTCAGTATATTACAAATTAATGACGTCATACAGAGAAAAAGGATATATATATTTTCAATCCATATTTTCAATCCAATTGTGAGTTATGTCATGTTGAGAGCATAGAAGTGCAAATTTCTGCATATGATATTTGTTAGCATGAGTTTGGTTCTCTGAGATTTAACAAGTCACTCGACGCTAAATGAGTCCTAAGAAGCCAATTATGAGGTATTTCTGTACCTAATTCGGCTTTTCATGAAAGCGCGTAGTATGAATTCGGCAATGGTATGAACCAAAATAATGCAAACGTGAACCCAAAATTTGATCCTTGCTACATTCACGTGGTCATGCATACTTTCACTTATGACGAATAAGTTACTCAATAATAATTATATTAAACTTCAACATTTTTGGCAAATATTATATTAAACGAGTTTGCTTCTCTCACTTGCAGCACGGACTGATCGTTGATTTTTTGACGTTGGTCAAAAACTTGGCGGCGGATGAGATTTAGGAGTGAGCGGTTGCAGGCTGCCTGGTTCACGCCGTAAGTTCCCCCCAGAAGTGACACGCCATGCCATGGATGATCGCGCATTATGTGCAGCATCTTACCTGATTCCAAGAACTCATGAACGGCTGCCACTTCACGATACAACATCTGCAACGATTTTGAATATGAAAGAAAGATCTGATATTTCTCTTCGAAATACAAAATGCACAGCAATACAATCGATTGTTGACCATCAAAAAATTGTAAAAAATGCACAATTAACAGCAAAAATGTGCTTAAATGTATAGTTATGAGCAGTTTTACCGTATTCATTGTGAATTGTGTCAAGCGCGCAAGTTTAGCCAGGAAAACATATTTCAACCCCTAAATAAAAAAATATTCGTGGAGCACCGATGATTTATTAGTGGAACTGGGTTAGAAATCGTTGGTGGGGCACCGATGGCACATCGATGAACGGTCCAACCTATGATATCTACCCACTGGCACCGATTGCGTATAAATGAGCCCTCGAAAGCTACTCCTCGAATGAAGTCATAAATATTTTTCGGACGTATCGCTTATGCACTCTCACACTGAACGACAAGCAAATCAGACGATCTCACATTTTAGGATTAGTACCCACAACTAGCATGAAAGTGTAAGCTACAATGTCGGGAATGTAGCAGGAAAAAATAACACAGTGCCAGGCACATATCGTGTGAGAAGTCGACTTGGAGAAAAAAGACCTGCTTGCTGGTATCGAACCTGGGACTCCTGAGCGCAGCAAACTCTTTACCGTTGAGCCATTGGAGATTTTTTTGCAGGTGAGTCATTTTTAGAGACTTGAGTAAATTTTTGCAATTATGATTGGATGGTTCCATTAACCTCTGTTTATTTGATTACGCAATGTTTCTGAAAACGGCCGCTGAAAAAAATTCGGCTATCCATAATGAACCTTCTATCAGCAAGAGTTTAACAGCAACGGGATTATGCACGAAATATATCGAAGTTAATTTATCTGAAACTTAAATTTCGAGAAAGGGAAGCTTCGAAAGTTTTTCGTCAGAAATATTCTTCTGTGAAATAAGGAATGAAGTATGAAATTGACATCACATGAGTATTTGAAATGTCAGGGATAAAATTCCTTCATCACTTAGTGTCAATATTTTTTCTCTACCATAGCCTACAATCACTCACGTAGGAATGATTCTGAGACCACTTTATTAAAAAATCTAGACTTTAATTCAATATAATATTGTGACAAAATAAGCGAATTTCTTATAAGTAAATAAATAAAAGCACCACTAACGTCAGCGATAGAAAACTGAAATTTTCTTCGCATACCTCTGCGTAAAGAGGATACCTACGTATATGGCAACAAAAACCTCGGTGTGCGATCAGGTTCGTAGTGTAAACATGTACACGCCGCTGAAAGCTCCACTACGCTGTCGACTGTGTAAAATTGGCTTTAGATAAAAAAGGTAGCTGAGTACGAGAATATACATATTATGAAATATACCTCATCAGTTCACAATTACCGATATAATGAATGAATCTCAACTGATTGCAATAACGTAAAAGAGCAAATTGATTCATTTTGAAAATTAGCTCCAAATTTTGACAGTGGATCGGATGAACATGAAAAATCAGATTCGACATAACTTTTGGGCAATGTAGTTATTGCGAAAAATTTTTCTATTGTTCTTTCGCGTCGAACAGGGGCAGTTTGTGGCAGGTGTCCAGTGGCTTCACTTGAGCTCGAAAATTTTGTGAACGCCTTGCTACCGACTCAGTTACATTCGGACCTACCTCCTCGAGGCACAATGAATTTTGAAGAAATTCATTTCAATTAAAATCCCAAAAAGCCAAGCACACAAAACGAGTCATGATTTTTTACTGCTCATGAATGAACCGCAACCTAATAACATTACTCTAAGATGGATAAATTACAGTGACAGACTCTTTCGTGCACTGCGCAGTTTAGGTGAACGGTTGGTGGCTTACAAGTAAGAATAAAGGAATTTGCCTGCAACGCGCCAATAATAAACCAGACCCGATAACTCAGTGTCGATAAACGCTTCCAATACAATATAACCATCGGTGCACCTCCCATAATTTTTATTTTGGATGTATTGGTCAGGAACAGAAGCAGCTTTGAAGACTGTAAGCAACTACTTGAAACTTGAGAATTATTTCAATGTCGATAAACACCTACTGCAAACTTCAGCTCACCTCAGCGTCTATATCTCGAACCAGGAACACGTCGACCGTCTCGTCACCCAAGACTGCTACTCTCCACAGCATGGAATCTGGCACGCGGACGTCAGGGATGTCGCCTGGTAAGTTACTCACGTCGCACAAATACAAGTATGGGTGCTGCAGCATGAGAGGTCTGAGTTCTTTGACGTACATGGAAGGTTCAGTGTACAGCCGAACCAGCCACCCCGGGTACCATTTCCTTATGGCGTCTAAAATTCTGGGAAATCCAGACGCGTACTTTGAATAATTTCCATATACGCAGTAGGAAAGAACTTTTTGATTGGGACCAGCAAAGTCCGCCCTCTTGCCGCAATAGCTTCGTGATTTGTTTTTCTGAGCAATAAACTGTTCTTGAATTGCCCAACAGTTGTCGAGAGCACCATCCCACCACGGCAAATCACATTTAGGATTTACATGGCCTATTTCAGTCGAATGAATCAAGCTTGAGTTCAAGGAAAATATCTGCAATTGTCTGGCACGATTCTGGTGAATCCTGCTCAGCTCAGAATCCAAACATCCCATGTCCATACCAGAAGCCGAGAATTTCACATCATAGTTTGCCAGCACGTATACTGAAGCTCCAATAAATATCAAACATAAGATAAATTTAAAGTTATATTTGCGAATAAATCTTTTCAAGTTATTTCGCAGATCGGATAGATCTGCGGATGCAAGGACCTTGTATCCTTCAACATCCCGCATTGTTCTGAGTATACACAGCTTTCTCTGTCTGCTAAGTTACAGGAATCGAATTATTAAAATAAATTAGTTGATAGATTTGTCCTTATCTGATAATTACAAATTAAATTACGCCAAGAAATTTCTTCAGTGAATTCAAATGTTCAAATCAATCTACTTACCGAATTTGAAAAACTTGGTTCATCCTGCCATAATAATAATTCTCTACACCTGACTACACAGAACTTCCATAAAACTCTACACCTGACTGCAAATTTCTTCTACAAAAAAAAATAAAACTCTTCACCTGACAGCAGAGAAGTTCCGTTATTCTACATAACTGAATGCAAAAACTTGCATTGAGACTCTACACCTGATTGAAATAAAATTCCGACCAATTTACCCCCAGAATACCAGGAACTTTTGTAAAATGTAAAACCGAATAAATAATAAAATCGCTTGCGATTGAAATACCAAGAACCCGCACAGGGTTTGAAGCACTCCAACCTCCCCAGAATATTAAAATAAAGCCAATAACCACAGTATGGGAGAAAAAGAACTCACTCTGTCTTATTATTCGCTCGATACTAATTGGCTATTGATGCTAACGAATGTTTAGCCCTCACAGAAGTCAAGCACTGCGCTATCAGACGATGCAAGTACACAACCTTCCTCGACGATTGCAAACGCGCAACAGGTCCCAAAATCCCCGGCAGCTTCTGCTCAACTGTTGAGAAAAACACGGTCTCTGATTGGTCCTTGGTGGTGGTGGTCATTATTCATATTCCTCTGAACTGATGTACTTGCAAGGTCGAAAATTCACGAGGTCAGCCAATCCAGTTAGCTGTTCGCTGGAGGATCGCGAAGCTCATTGGCACGCAAGATTCAATGGCAAGTGATTGAAGCCAATCAGGTTTGACGGTCACTGCATTTTTGAAACTTGATTCTGAATGGCCAGACGATTATCGTAGCAACTAATCACAATTCGAGTTCCCAGACTCGGACAAAACGTCAGAGGTGTACATAAGTTATAAAATAATATGCGTTCTAAAAACTACTTTTTAAAGACAACACTTCCAAAGAATTCAATGTCTCCGATGTTATACATCGGAGTGTGTAACTCCGATGTTACACATGTACAATGAATTTCTAATTTTGTTTTCAGATATTAAAAAAATTAATTTTAATATTTTTTAATATCACAGTGGATGATGAAGGGTGCGCGGTGGATGATGGATAGTGCGCGGTGGATGATGGATGGCGTGTGGTGGATGTAATCCATGCCCTCAAGGATGATAATATCACCCTCCCCCTACCAGCCCCCCTGCAGGGGGCGCTATCGCCCTTATCTGCCCCCCGCTGCACGGGGCTGCTTACGAGTCCTGATAACAAATGTTGGCCACAACACACCTTGTACAATGAGTGTGTCACTACACACCTAGTACAATGAGTGTGTCACTACACACCTAGTACAATGAGTGAATCATTACACACCTAGTACAATGAGTGTGTCACTATACACCTAGTACAATGAGTGCATCATTACACACCTAGTACAATGAGTGTGTCATTACACACCTAGTACAATGAGTGCATCACTACACACCTAGTACAATGAGTGCGTCACTACACACCTAGTACAATGAGTGCGTCACCAAGCGTCTGGTACAATGAGTGTGCTAATATTCCTCATCCACATAACTTCATCCATATAACCTCATCCATATATTACTAAATCATCACACAATTCTAACCCTCATTCGAATTTCCCATGCAATCTCCATTAAAACACAAAGGCTCACATACGAATCATAAACTAATATCCCGCTCGTCTCACGAGTGAGGGAAAAGGTGGGAAACTTCCTCAAAAACTTTCAGAAGGAAACTTGATTGTGTGTTGAACCTTCCGGACTTTGGAGAAGTGGGAGGTGGTCACGTGATTGCTGATGTCGGAAATTGCAATAGAAACGAATGGTAGCATCAAAAAAATTCTATCATAGATCATTATTACAGGCTGGGGTTTTGTTGCTGGGAGACAAGATTTTGTTACTAGAAGGCAAGGTATTGTCACCGGAGTTCAAGGTTCTCATGCAGGAAGACAAGGTTTTGCTGCCGGAAGACAAGATTTAGTCGCCGGAAGACAAGGTTTTTATGTCGGAAGACAAGATTTTGTTGTCGGAAGACGAGGTTTTGTCGCCAGAAGACAAGGTTTTGTCTCCGGAAGACAAGGTTTTGTCGCCGGAAGACAAGGATATGTTGCCGGAAGACCAGGTTTGGTGCCAGAAGACAAGGTTTGTTGCCGGGAGAAGAGGTTTTGTTACTATAAGACAAGATTTTGATGCCGAAATACAATGTTTTGATTTCGGAAGACAAGGTTTTGATGCCGAAAGACAAATTTTTGTCGCCTGCAGGCACGGTTTTGTTGCCGGCAGGCAAGGTGTTGATGCCAAAAGACAAAATTTTGTTGCTACAAGACAGGGTTTTATTGCCGGAAGTATCAATGAAGTCTCCGGTACCATAAGAAATCTCCTTATTTTACCAGCTCATGCTCTGGTATATTCTCAGGCGAAGTCTCAGTTGTCGATGAAGCCCAGCGGTCGGTAGGTGTCATAATGATTGAACACATCATCGCTGTCACCCCGAGACGGGTCATGAATATTCCTGAGGGATTACATTCAAAATACAACGCTGTCTTTTGTGGCGCTTTCCTCAACGCCGCTCCTGCGAAAATTGGAAATTTAGAACGGTAATTAAGAGAAGAACGGATGAGTCAAATGCAGATGCATTACATTGGCAACCCAAATAAAAATTAAGAGTGGTGCACCTATATGTTTTATGATGGCTATCGGTGGACGCCATAGGCAGAGCAACTATGATTTATACAGTGAATTAAGGGTGGCGTGCACCACCTATCCCACACCTATAACCTGCCGACGGCCTCCCTAACCGTACAGCTCTTCTTCCGCCAATAACTACCCATTGGCGCCGGTGGCGCATCAATGAGCCACCGATGGCCACCTTTAAAATAAAGTCAATAAAAATTTTTCATTTGGTTTCAAATCCGATGCTTCTGCATTTACTGATATTGCTTCATACAATCACCATTCTAAGAGCTACGTATGCAAATCTACCATGACAGTACAAGAAACAATGTCAGACATGTAGCAGGAACAAATTATCAGAGTACCATACACATACCTCGTGAGAAATCGACATGAAGTCCCTGCCTGCAGGATTTAAACTCCCTTCTCCCCCACGCGAAGCTGACCCTCTACCGTTGAGCCATCGGAGATGACATGGCAGTCGAGTAATTTTTAAAAATTTAGTTGAAGTATTGCAAATATTGATTTCATCACATGGGGGAAGTTAAATTTTTTATTTGGGAAAGCCTGAAATTCGCATGACTTTCAGAGTGATATGTGACTGAAAATTTCTTTAATGAAATTGCGTTTATAATAGGGTAAGCCCTTAAACAGAATAAATCCTACTTTAATTCTTGGATGATTCAAATACCGTACATTTTTCCAGATATCTAAACTTTTTACGTTAAATCGACAATTCCAGTTCCGGCTTGCCGACTTAGTGCTTATCAGCATCGCATGTCAATCATTCGAAATGCGTGATCGCCTCACATCATTCCAGTCTCGTATCGTGGATACAATACGCATGCCGCAGCTGCTTGTGGATTCACTTCACCTTCACGTCAGATGAGGATTTGCTTGACCAGTTTTGTCGGCACATGCGATGTCCACTCGGTAATTAATTCAATTATAACATGATACACGAATGAGTGGATTACCGAGGTCGGGGGTTGCAGTGGCTACCTAGGCATGCGCCGTTATCTGCTGCCCTGATATCCGTTATCTGCGACGCGCTAATTAATTAAGCTGGGCGACTTGATCACAAACTTGTTAGATTCAGAGAACTGTCTTCAGAGTGAGGTGTTGTTGGCGCAGTGAAGGGTGCGCTCGTGCATCTTGGTGTGTGAACCTGGTAACTATATTATCTATATATAGCTGTATTAGTGTACGAGCTGCGAGCTGCGCCATCGTACACGTAAGTACCTCAAGTACTCCAATGACGAAAACGCAGGTGCCCTTTTAAGTTAATTTTTTTGTATATGGAATATTAAAAAAACATTATTGTATTCACCTGATGAATAATCCTAATTGTCATTATTATTTTTGCATGCCACTTTTTCGCTTGATATTGATAAATACAACGCCTGTCACTCAGTAGTTTCAAGAAGAAGATCAGGATCAGGGTCCTTTTAGGCATGCCATGAACGTGCAGCGCTTCTACATCAACAATAAACCGGGAGCTCAATTTTCTGTTGACGAGACGCGCTCTTTAGGCGCCTCGCCGTCTCAGTTGCGTCGTATCCAGGATACTTATCGTGTCGGGATATTGCATATGGGATATTATCGGGACCTGAAAATGCATCGAATTATCGAGGAAAACAAGGCATAGCAAAACCTTAGGAAAGAGACTGGACCAAGAATTAGAATTTATTTTTTTTTAATTGACGAGAATGGCCTTGGTTCATGAATTTAATTCAAAAGACAGATTTTTTCTGATTTTGAAACAAGAATCTACTGTGTAGGTTCAAACAAGTTCCAGGTTCTATGAAAAAATATGGGTTTGAATTGGCATTTTTTTGTTAGCACACTTTCGCTTTATTGTTATAATCGCGATTATGAAAAACAGGTTTGGGATGAAGAGATTCTGGAATTGCAGCGATTATCGATAGCGGGATATGCCGGACGAAGCTGCTAGTTTGGAATAAATGGAAAATTGTAGCACAAAATTCGCCGTACTAGCTCAAGCTCTTAAAAAAATTTCTGAGCTCTGCCACTATCTCTATTAGCAGCAGCGCCTGAACCCCGCGGAGTGACAATCGAGAGGCCGCTTATCAAGCCGGGTAAGATAACGAGCATTTGCAACCTCAAACTTCACAGAACGTAGGGTCATGCATTTTACATTCTACACGTCAAATTAACTCCCGCGTTAAGCTTTCCCTTATTCTCTACCTTCGTATCGCCAATAA